GACAATAGCGCGTTCGTTCCCCACCATAGACACCTGCGGTCCAGAGTTTTGCAAATATCTCAGCAACGTTGTGGTTATATATACATATATAATAGAGGTATACATATTTGTATACAACCAAAATGTCTTTTCTTAATTATTTCAAAATATGGAATGAAAAGAATATGGGTCTATGTCGAACAATATAATCCCAGGTAAAACAAGCAAACTTTGATCAAGCAAACTATGAAGACAAGCAATCCTCCCAGTGAGGAACACAGTTTTTCGAGCTCTTAACCAAACAAACTGCGAAGCCAAGCATCCTCTCTATAAGGAACACGTAGTTTCTCGAGTTGTATGTGCATGTGGTTAATCATATCAACAACGCCAAAATCCCATGACCAAGTGTAACATCGAATACAAACGAGAAAATTACCAAAAGTGCGTTTGTTTCAAGACAAAATACACATTAGATTTACTACCTATTCTTCTCTCATGACAGGGTGTAATTCAAAATGCAACCATAACGATGCTGGGATATGAGCAAAATTCGGAATCTCAGTTGTGCTTCGAATCAGCGATTACCCTCACCGGGGTCTCAGTTGCCACCCACTACACCGACCAAGGTCCTTGTTTGGCCTTCCTCCTAGCCGTATTTCTACCCTATCGGTGCTGTCAGCAATTACCGGTGATGGAAGAGCTTCTGCGCATATCCTAGTATTCCTATTGTTGTAAATTTACATTATTTGGTCACTCGGATGGCTCGCCTCAACGTGTAATACAGGCAGCGACACTTTTCATTTCTTTCTTGCTCAGTCATTGTCCTTGGTCGTGATTCCCTTCGAAAATGACGATGACTGCGAAGTCCTTTCGCTATCAGGACATTGTTGCATTGCGACTACATCTGACCGACAAAAGCCACAAGCATGTTTTCCAATCTTCTAGAAGGACGTCCTAAGAGGAAGATTGCAACCTCTTAGAGTACAGTACACTGTTCTTCTCGTCGGTATGTTGTTTCAACCTCTCGTTCGACGACCAACACGTTAGTTTCCTATTGTTGAGTTACGGAGAATTTAGCCAACTTATTCAACACAGGCTTATGTCTTGGTTACCCAAAAAAGTCACGGCGAAAAATGGATTCGAATTTTAATGTTCAAGTGGTCCATTCCTCACTTTTTCTTAAACTGCTCTCCATACAGCGATCGGCAGCATGTAGTACAGTTGTGTATGTCTCCACGTAAAAATGTTTATCTACGCTAAAACATGGAATTCCCAACGATTTACCATGGGTGGCCTTCGTCAGTGCCAAGCTGCGATGTACAGCGGGGGATTTATCCCCTAATCACGGTCCCCCAAGCTGAAGAGTCCGGCGTTTTCATCAGGAAATCTAGCTAAGGGTAAACCAATACCGAGATCCACCACCGTCTTGGTATCAAAGTCGCATGGTGGCAAATCTCCCTCTGATCCACAAGGACTGCGACTACCTGTGGTGGTGAACTGAGGCAGACTTTTGCTGGCTGACCCAGAGACTCCAGAGAGCCACAATGGCTAAACCAGCAAAACTCGGAAACAACAGAAATTTTACTGGGGCACGCATATCCAGTGAAGAAGGACCATTCAATCTTCAAGCAAGTGAGTAAAATATGGAGTTGCTAATCATGATTTACTAGCTGCATTAGCGGCTCCTACACGGTTCCATTCGATTTTCTTCAGCCCGTAAAGGGGTTTGATACAATAATCACTATGCTCTTCTATTTTCTAGTTTCTCTAAATTCATCATCATCTCTTACAATTCCTTTAAAACAATTTTGAAAATCCAGTATGATGACATATCAACGAAATTTTTTAGAGAGTGCTCGTATATAACGTAATGACTAAGACCCTGGGATAGAAGCGTCGCATGAACACAGCATTAACACAACTTTCTTCTACTTTTGTTGAGAAGCCAGTTATTATGTGATAAAGTAAACGACATAGGATTTCTCATTCTTCTGCAATAGGGAACCCACTCCTAATCATAAAGCCTTGGGTTTCATACTGTCCAATCAAAAGAGCAACTGTTCCAAAGCGAATAAAAAATGAAGTAGCGATTTTAGCAAAGGTTTCCATAACCGTTCTAAGTAATGAATAAAAGAAAGAATTAAAACGGAAAAAAGTTAATAATCACTCACCGTCTCCAAGAAATACATCTCTAATCTCTCCTTTAGCACTGTGAAAAACCTTATGTCAGAAAACGACGGTTTAGCCTTTCTCAGATTTTCTTCCAGTATCCAGTACTTCTGCCATTCGTCTCTATCCTCTGGATGTTTTCCAAGCAAACTAACTATTGCCGGCTGAGTGAGATTGACAAGCAACCTGGAATTTAAAAGTTGGCAGTCTTCAAGGCTTTTCAGTAGAGATAACCACTTATCGTTCACCTGAGAGTAATGTCAAACATTTTCCCCTTAACGTTTTCGGATTTGATGATAGGAATGAGGTCATTTCCGATGATGTTTCGCTCTCCACATATCCTACGAGCTAACATGACATCGTTGTCGTTCCGTAGAAATCGAATCAAATCGCGAATTGTCTCTGAAAAACCATTAATTCGTAAGAGAGAATGGTATTGGTTGATTTAGATTGGATATCAAGAAACACACTCTGTCGTGGAAATCACCTTTTCACTTGGTTGCTCAAAAGTTTTAACACATACAGTTTCGATTTACGATGGACAAGCACTTCTTTTGCAACCATTAAAGCCCCCTAAGGGCTTCCGTGGTGCAGTCTACAATATGCAAGCCCCCGGAAAGGAATCGCAATTCGACTTGGCCAGGGGTTCATGTTTTTCGAATATCCCAGCATCGTTGTGGTTCTATTCTACATCATACCTTTCCGTGAAAAAATGTAGTAGGCAGCAAATGAAAGGTTAACATTTAAGAAAAATTCTAACGATTTTCAACAAGTACGACGGGTTGACAAGCTTTTACCCATCTTTTCAATGATAATGAGAACAAAAACCACTACGAGAAAAACAAAAGCCCACCATAGCAGTCAGGCTCCTGGTAGTACACATCATTCTCGAGGAAGCCTAAGGCACTGATTGTTCCCTGGATTATTGCCTCCATTAAAGCACTGAAAAAGCATATAGTTAAAGTGACTGTCATTTCACAATGATAATGTCTTAGAGATTTTATCGTATGTTTAATTAACAAAAAATGAATGTATGAAAATTAGTCAACTTAAATATGAGATATAAAAAGTGAACAAGTAAATACATATCAAGAATTATGGTAGTAGAATAAGCACACAACTGAGTAGAAAGGCGACAGTCAACGGAGCAGCGAAAGTGCAAATTTAAATTTCGCGGGTCTTTGGACAAGTGTGTCAAGACGGGAAGGGAGCGCCGCCGAGGCCGTCCGGTTTGACCCGTGGTGGTTTGCGTAGGCCACCAGTCCACTTTCGTGCGTTTTGGGTGACTTTGTCTAATTTAGTCACTACCCGCGATCCATCTTTAGTCCCTTGAGGCCCTATTATACCACTCTAAGTCAGCAGTGTGGCGTGTGTGGCGCAGTGGTCGGAGGCGCCCTGCAACACACACGTTGGGTCGGTCCCCGTGCCTCTGGCGCACCAAGCCTTCCATCCATTCAGGGTCGGCAAATTGGTACCAGACTTGTCTGGGAGAATAGCAGCACCGGTTCGATACATCGGTAGGCCAGCGCGAATCGTTGTAAAGGCCGGATATGCATTCGGTCACCTCCAAACGATACTTGATGAAGTAGGATGCATGGTGCATCACTCAGGGATTAATCAACGCCGAGAGCTTTTTCCTTTAAGTCAGCAGCAAGTAAATTACAAAGAAGCTACTGTGAGGCAACACGCTCCAGTGTGCTAAATAATTAGGTGATTAACCTATGAAATCTGGAAGTAATTCAATAGTTGCAAACATACGGAGTAGGAAGTGGTGACTCTCTAGTCGATGTCCAGATTACCGAGTAACAGTACTGCTATAAATATTTGACTTCGTCGTAAGCTTTTCTGACTTTTATAAGAAAATCTTAAGCATTACTTACGCATTTCTATTCGACCCCATGTGACTTCGAAATTTGATTCTTTGTGAAGGAAGTTATAAAGTATGCTTGGACCCGGATGGTGTAGTGGTGAAGTGCGCTGCTCCCCGGTAAGGACAACAGCGCGTGTTCGTTCCCCACTGCATACACCTGTGGTCCGGTGTTTTGCAAATATCTCAGCACTTCATACGAGTTATATTTCACAACATACCCTGCCATTAAGAAGAAAAAGGCAGTAAATAAAAGAGTTAAGATTATGCTTGGATACTTGGATACTTAGCCTGTCTTCACCATGATTTCCCTTTTTCGGAGCCCTGCTGGCTTAGCCACTGTGTTTCCCTGGAGTCCCGAGGTCAGCCTGGCGAAAGTCGGTCGCAGGTCGTCACCATCACAGGCAACCACCGCCCCTGATGATCAGAGGAGAAATTTACCACCATGCGAGTAGTTTGGGGCAGTGGTGGGTCCTGGTATTCCTATCCTCATATTTAGCTACATGTCTTTTCTTCCATGTAGCCACCTCAGGTTTTCTGAGTGCATGGGGATCCATTGCTACTATATGCACCCAATCTCGGTGGACGATATCATGGTACAAGTATAACGAAATTACCGTTGTTTCCCATTGTTCACTACCCATTATCGATTGGATGTGAGAAACGGTTATGTGTTTATGTTACAGTTTACCAAATAAATATTCTTTTACCCATACGATTGTATTAAACCTTCACTCATTCGTCTCTCCTATTCCTGTGGAGAGTATGATTCATACAGTGGCTAATGCGTTGAATCCCTCCGGTGGTTCCCCGAAGGAAAACCGATTCACCGGAGTCTGCTATTAGCAGTGATGGGAGCGCTGTGCTAGTGTTAGCTGGTCATTCCAAGGGAAATCTCGTCCAATAAGGAATTGTTTCAATATGTTAGTGAGGATGTAACACTTCGTGTACTCAAAGTCAACTTCTTGCAGCAAACGAACCACTTATGTGATTAGAAGACAATGAAGCACCTGAAGAGATCTCCTCAATTCCTTTCAGGACGGATTGACAAATGAGAAGGCTAGTCGTCGCAGAACACGCAACGTGTTAAACCACATCGGTGACTAACTTACTTCGTAAATGTCCAGCGCATCATTGACACTTTGTAAATTTCCTGGTGTCAACTATGTACTACTACTAAATAACATGTATAAAATCCTCTAGTTGTCTTATTTCCTCATGCGTGGTGTATTTATCGAAGTCTCGTCGCAAAGTGAGCTTGTACGACAGGATGCCTCATTCGAGAAGATGGGTCACTGAGGAAGACCTGACTCGACACGAAGGCGAAGCTGCAACGTCGAGACGAACAACAAGCGTGGACCATCGAATCGGATCACCGGCTCTGAGGAAGACGAAGACGTCGAAACGTTAGCCGAAAATAAATATATTTATCAACCTCGTGTAAGCTCATTAAAGAAAGGATACATATTGATTAGTGATACCGAGGTTCAAGGAAAGTCGGTTTCGAAATATTGTCCGACAGAGTGTTTTTTGTGAACCATATAGTGCAGAGAATGACTTTTCTGGTCACTAAACTGCATGTGGACACCACCGCGTCCACGTGAGTTATGAGTTAATGATAGTACAGTCCCTTCACTCAAAACATTTATTCGACCACGGTCCGCAAAAGATGGACCCTTCTTGCATAAAACTTCTAATGTTCACATCCAACAAACCCCTCTTGGACAGAATCCAAAACACAATAGTGTACAAAAACACATTACCGGGACAGGATCTGTAGTTATCACCAACAATTCTTCTAACCTACAACCATACACAATTCCAATGTATAGTTTAGATTTCTTCTGTAATAAATCTACTTCTGGCATAAAATTTACGTTTGGCATAACAACATTAATCAACAATGAAGCGATATAGGGAAATGTCTAGTACGTTACTACACCTACTACGTACCTTCCTAGGATATTTTGTGGTAGATCTGGAATCATCGTATTTTGCTTACTTCATACAACAGCCGACCAAGTACACGTACCAGGCATTAACCTTCGGTTTTCACGTAGGAACAGATGTGTACACTTAAAATACATCTGAAACTAAGCATGCAAAACAATGAAGAAACCAAACATGCGCACCATTTAGTGGCCTTCCTAAGAGACGATCGTGGCTTCTCAAACAGAATTCGTCCGTTGAGCACAGGGGTTGATCGCTCACTCGCATAATCAACTATAAATAGGTCGTAGAAATCTAAGGGGCCCATCCATGCAAACAGAATATTTCCATTAATATCTACCTCATTTCTACGGAAAAGTTATTGAAAGTCCTAATTTTATGTCAGCAATTACTATAAGGAAATAGAAAATAAATCTTGAAGAAGAAAAGTTACTCACATTGGCAAAAGTGGAGGAGGGCATCCATCGAAAGCAACTGGCGGGTCTGGAGATCCCTGATATAGCGGTGCACCGTGAAAGCCACCATGATGACATGAAGTTTGTTGTCCATTTGGTGGAGAGGTGGGACCGAGACGAGGCACAGAAAACGGCACTAAGCTAAAAGAGAAGTGCATGGCACACTTAAATTAGTGCACACGTCAAGTTGGAATGCTTATGAACCTCGCAGTACTTGCCGGAGGACCTGGTGAAAGTGGAGGAGAGGTGTCGCCAGGCGATGACGTGCTGACCTCAGAAACAACACAAGGTGGCCTCTCGATAGCAAAAAACATACATTTTTCCTCGTTTTAGCGCTCTAACGAAGACCATACTATCAGCGGCTCCTAAATGACACTTAGAAAAATTTCCCGACAGGGTCACGAAACATCAAAAGAACTCTTTCTCACATCCACAATGATTTTCACAGATCAAAATGCGCATGTAGTCGAGAATAATTTGGTATTTCAAATGTGAATCGGCATCGAATGAAAGGTAAGTCACCAGATTCTAAATATACCATTTACAAGACACCAGATGCCTTCCGTTGTGGTGAAGGAAAAAGCACTGTTGTTTCCAGCATGTTAATTCCAAGAAAACAAGCTTACATTGATAATTACCTAACCTTCAAACTGTGTTTCCCTTGGAGCCTCTCTAACTTCGGCTTGGTTCTAAAACGGTGCATAAACGAGATAAACATGGATATAGCTACTTACCACATGTTAAATCCGATAAAATGCAAGTGCATACGCTTTAATATGCACGATTTCATACGAAAATAATACACACGACACGTGCGATATTAGTGTGAACCTCGGTCGCCTCATGGCTTGGAATAATATGCCGATTTCTCATGCCAAGGCTAGTTGACAGTTACATACTTGATACTTGAACGGCCCGTCCTCACTAGTTGTGCGGGCCCCAACATAATCATCATTTTTCGGAGATTTGCTAGCTAAGCCATTGTGGCTCCCTGGAATCCCGAGGACAGCTTGGTTAAAGTCTACCCCAGGTCGTCATCATCACAGGCAGTCGCAGCCGTTGTGGATCAGAGGAAAATTGCCACCATGCGACTTTGATACCAGGACGGTGGTGGGTCCTGGTATTGGTTTACTCTTAGGTTATAGAGAACATTCTTCACGAATATTGGAATGTTCTCTATGTAAAACATTTCAAATACTGTTCCCGGTGACCTTATTTCCATGACGATTTGTTAACCTTATGTCAAACATTTCGGCTTCCGGTGACCTTATGACGATCCGATAGCCACATGGCTAACATTTCGTTGGCGGTTATCTCATGAAAAACATCCGCAGTTACAGTCCTATGCTTTGACTATCGCCTTATCAGATTGCAACGCTTGTGAAATGTTTCCAGCAGCCGTCCTTCCGCATACTGTAGCCTGACTCCACCTACTGTAACCCGACTCCGCCTACTGTAGCCTGACTCCGCCCAGCCCAAGAGGTATATAAACGGCTCCACGGCTGACTAGCTCAGGTCACAGCAATGCTACCCAAATCGCCATATCCTTTCCTCATATCGATCTCATGTGGTCGAAGTCATATGACAACCTCTTCACTCTTGAGCAACCTGAACACAAGAAATCAGGCTGCGCCTATTCATTACTTGTATCATTGTTGTATTA